GCTATTCCCAAGATAAGAATGTGCTCAGTGTTTAAAGATAATTGCCCCTTACTTTGATGGACATAATTTCTACAAGCTAACTGAAAGCATTTACGCACCATCAAATAAGAACTGACCCTTTTGGGTAGAATTCTAGTTAAATAAAATACTATGAGCAAAATCTTTTGAGTCTTTTTTTGTTTCCCTCTAGACAAGTCTTAGTAATTTTTTTGTTAGCTGTTTTAAAGTATCGTACTGGTAGCTACTACGTAGCAAAGATATAGTTATACATACGATTTTTAGTATTTAGCCTTCCAAATACAATCCTGAATAGACTATGCCATAAGAACACGTAGTCAAGTCACCAACAGGCCTAAGATATTAGTCTTTTCATAAAACCTGACAGCTCAACTCTGTAAATGGCCAAGAATTCACAAGAAAGAAATACCACCCTGAGAGCTTTTTTTCCTGAGTTTATAAACTGATAAACATCCATGAGAAAGAATACTGAAGGTATGCCACACAAAGGGCAACATGGAACAAATGCCTTAAGCACAATGCATAATCCAACTTGTACTAAACAATTAACGATCATCCTCGAAGTGGAGAGAGCGTGCACATCCAAGAGAGTGCATTTTTATACACTGCATGCATAAATGCCTTCACTCAAAACATTTAATTAAAGTAATTCTCAGACACTCTGGGTATTTATAGCAAACACACACAAAATATGAATGCACATATGAATGTCTACAACATCCAGTCTTTGTTATAGGGATCACATCTAGGAGTTCAGTATGTTAGAAATGGAGAATGTTATAGAAAGGGAGAAAAATAAAATCATAGAATCATAGAATCGTTTAGGTTGGAAAAGACCTTTAAGATCATCCAGTCCAACCATTAACCTAACTTTACCAAGTCCATCACTAAACCAATTAAGGATAGAGTAGCAATTTCATGCTTCCTAGCTTGGTGGATAGATTATTTTTAATGAAAGTAAAAATAGGAATCATTAAGATTGGAAAGGACCTCTAAGATCATCAGTCCAACCATCAACTCAACACCCCCATGTCCACTAAACCATGTTCCAAAGCGCCACGTCTACCTGTTTTTTGAACACTTCCAGGGATGGTGACTCCACCATCTCTCTGTGCATTCTTTTCCAATGGTTGACTACCCTTTCTGTGAAGAAATTTTTCCTAATATCCAATCTAAACCTCCTGTGGCGCAGTTTGAGCCCATAGATAAAAGAAATCTAATAAATTTTAAATAAATACATAAAATAAATTTAATTCTCCACAACAACATCTTGTTATTGACAATACATAATGAACGGTTACTAGACTTGCTTAGCAGGAATAGGTGTGTTTCGGTCATCAAAACTGTACTTCCAAAATCAATCAAAAAAATGTAAAACATGATTGATTGTTGTTATTCTATACCAAAAAGCAACCTATGGGATGGTGAAAAGGATTATACTTGTTTTGTTGATCTTTTCCAAATGGATTTCACTCAATAAACTGCTTGTATGTGTTTATAATCACATCATACTGGAGGCTGTTGTTCACTGTCAAGAAGATTTCTTTGCTTGAGAAGAACGAAGAGCAACTAAAAACAGGTCCACAGGGATTTCTTGAAGAAAAATAAACATCAGCACAACAGATTCTAAACTCCATGGTAGGTGAACAAAAATTTGTCTACCAGTGTAGACTAAAAAGAAAATTTCTCTTAAAGGATCAACAAAGATCTGCTTAAGCAAACTTAACTCAGACAAAACCACAATATACAGCCCTGTTATTAACTTCTCATGCAATGGCCACTTTCTATCAAATCTGAAAGGGACAGTCGCAGATCACAGTGACAACTGCACTCTAGCTAGCCCATATTGGTTCTGTTGCTTCTTCCTCACTCAATCATACACTGAACTTTGAAGAAAGGGTGTGATAAATAAGGGGGCTGAGGATACTGCGTGAGGAGGAATTCCATGTTACGTGGGAGAATGCAGCAATGCAGGACTATTAAAGACAAACGGCAATAGGACTGTGCATAATAGCTGCTAATGCAAGATGTAGGAAGGTGAGGAGCAGGGTGAAATCTTGGTGAGAAAGATAGTTTGTGAATATATTTGTAAATTTGAAACCTATTTAAGGAACATACTAGTATCATGTACTCACCACACCACGACACATACTTATCCACATTTTCAGGATAACCAGAGAGTTGCAGGCCTGCTCACGTGAGCATGCCACTATGTTTCAAAGGCACTGAACTTGCTGGTCTACATTTAACCAGATTCCTTTGTGAACAGTTTTAAGGTATGTCTGAAAAAATACTAAACTTCACAGGATATGAACTGTTCTTACACAATCAGAAGACAGATGATTAGCCAATAAAATACATAAATATAATATCAGCTACAGACAGAAGCAAATAAAACACGTTTCTGCAGAAGAGATTAGCATAGATGTTTCAATGGATTAGGAAGTTTCAGTGACAGAAGGTATATTTAATATATAAAATCCATATAATGAGAAGCAGTGGAAAAAAATAGGGCAACTGTCATGTGTCCAAGGAATATCTTCTAAAAAGGCTGTCAAATATAAGCATTTCACAGCAACAAAACACTCTGCAACTGAACAAGGCAAATTTAATTCAGGATTTACAATGTACCTCATCATGGATTTTATAATTACAAAAACCCCTGAACAGCTGCATCTCTCTAAACTGAAACAAGGCTTACGTTCTCCTGTTAAATAACTCCTGCCTGGCATTTATGATTAGTTGGACATAAAGATTGTTGTTGGTTTATTCTAGCAAAAGGACAGTTGAGAAGGAATATGACCAACGTGTGTAAACAGACCCAGAGGCAAACACCTGAGAAGGGTAAGAACTAATTAAGCTCAAGGACCATGCTGGCCTAAGAACAAGTGGTTATAAAAATTGGTCATGAAGAAATTCAGGTTGGAAATGAAAAAACCTGATGTTTTCAGATGAAAATTCACAAATTTATGATCAGGATGACCTGGCTGTCTGCAATAGCAAGGGCTTGTACTCAAGTGACCCAGGATGCCGCCCCCTTCCACTCAGACATCCTAAAAACACAATAGATTTTAACACTCTTGCAAAATAACTATATGTTAAATCCTGTAATAGATCTAGTCACTGAAAAAATGATAGAGGCTATAAATAATAATAGCAAAATACCTATAAACTCACATGTGAATGAATTTCCAAAGGTCTAAAAACTGATTTGCGTAGTTCCAAAAACCCACAGATCCTCATTCAAGCTATCAAGACTACGAAGGTTCCTTTCCAGCAACAGGTAGGGCTAAGATAAATCTGCCTAAACCCCATCACAGCAGCAAACTTTGGAAGACACTTTCACTTCCTTCCAATATTATTTATTCTTGTTCCTTCCCCCCCAAAATAAGGAGAGTAAAATGCAGATATGGCATCCCCTACCATCACAGAATATAAATAACAATCTTCTTATCTTTGATGCCTTCTGGAATTTTTTACTCTCCCTGCCACAAAAGCTCAAGAAAATAATACAGAAGACCAAGTAATGCACATATGGGATATACCAATCAATCAAAAGCCTGGCTCATTCATTGGCCTCTTTCACTGACTTCGGTAAATTTTATACCAGAACCTATTGAAAACACACACAAATTTAGCAAGTATGTTTAGAATATTCAATGTTTTGTTTCATGGGGTGCTTTTTTCCTAGCTGTGAAACAAGCAAACTCTGCATTAGGAAAGTTCACACTAGGTAAAGTGAACCTCTTTATCCCTGGAATAAGGAATCGTAAAAAAGCTGTTCTCTTGTTAGTTGATGCTCCATCAGATCCAAGTTTTAGTCTCAGCTTTTACTAATTCTAATTAATATATTTTTAGTCATTAAATACAATAGCATTTTATTTTGAGTGTCTTTTGTAATACACATGTTCAACAGAAATGCCACTTCAATTCATCCAAACTTTGTTTGAAAATGAAGAACAAATTAATTGCATTGTTTCACCTGAAGAAAATATTTTCCTTTCCTTCCCTTCTCATCCTCTTTTTCTTTTATTGACTGTTTAAAAAAAAAAAAAAACCCACCACAAAACGCATACAATGTCCAAATAAGGATGCCCTTGCTAAATCACCTTCTCTTTACCCCAAAAGTCCATTATGTAGCACAGATGCAGCTCTTAATCAATGAACGTTAAAGCAATCCTAGTCTAGGAAGTCCTGACCACATCATCACAAACGTTCTCTTTCTGGACAAAAGCATACTTAAATACCTATAAAAAAGAAAAAGGAGATACTGATCACTGCCCATACAGTGATCTCCTGTGTTTTTTGATAGCGATACCTAAGTTTATCCTTAATTACCATTCCTTTGCTTTATTAAAAATATTAAAGTTCGATTATTTGGGGGGACAAGATTTTGTTTGTCAGATAGGTAGGGTTTTTCTTCAGCAAACAAAAATCCTTTTCAGTTTGAACCACTTTTCACACTATTTTTCACTTCAGACTGAATCACAAATCAATTATTCACAAAGTTCTAAGCAGAAGTTGTTAAAAATGGCTTTATGCTCTCAAAATTCCTCTTTCCTATCTTTCTTTCTTGAAAGGAAGAATCCTATTGCAACCAAGATTTAATTGCAACAGATGGAGGGCACTCGCTAGTATAGCTTTTTTCCCCACCCTCCTCCCGTTGGTTTTTTTTTTTTTATTGAAATGCTGTAGATAGCAGAGTAAAGATTATACAATTAAATACATATATATGTTTATACAAACATACATTCACCACCACATCCCTATTTATAGACTGGAAATTTCTAAGCAATTAAAAGGAAAAATATGGGCAGCTTTTGCAGGTGGAAAGTGAATGTACTTACAGAAGCTCTAAGGAAATTATCGTCATGCTAATATGGTGATATGACTGTCAAAAAAAATCAAGTGGATGTGATGACTCTATAAATATACACACCATTCTTACAAAATTCAGGACACTGCATATCACTGCATTCTTATTCTGCCTCATTTAATACTCACAGACAGACTGTAAGAAGGTTCCAGTATCACTGGCACTGACATCTTCCCTTGAAGATTCAGTTTTGTTAAGTAAAAAATCTTTTCTCCCACAATCCTCTCTTTTTTCATGCGACGTACGCTGTACAGTCTAAAGCGAACTGCATAATTCCCAATCATCTCAGACTCAACGTGATTAAATTTGAATGTCTCTGTGAAGACAGGGCACGGTCCCCGCTGGATGCTGGTTTTTGCTCTCTGCTTCTTTATAGGGAGAAGAACTAGGTGTACTTGCCACGAGCTTCCACCTGTCCTGCTGTATGTGGGAATGTCTGTGACAGCTGTCACTGTCACCAAAAGCTTCTGTTCCTGTGAGTCATAGTCAAAAGTCACATCCAGTGTGCCATATTTAGCTACTGGCTCAGGATCAAAAGGTTTAGGAAGCTGTGAAGATGATCCTCGAGCTGACATATCCTGAAGAAGAACAAGAAAAAAAAAGCTTTTTATTTATTTATTTATTGTATTCTATTATTCAATCTAGCGTGGAAATATATGGCTTTCCCTATGCAATATGAAGCGACTATGATCTTTTTCTTCATTTCATAAATGAGGTAGTTAAACACCGAAAGCCTGAGGAGATGGCTGACTAGCAGCCAAGAAGAAATCAAAAGACTTTACCTGGCCAATACTGCCAAAAGCCAGTATCCAACCAGACAGAGCTCAGATTAAATTAGGCTGTATTTATGATCTCTTCTTCCATACCCCACATTAAAATCCACACACATTTGTTATGAGATAGAACTACTTTATTTCTGTGTGAGTATGCACACATTTTTAAGTTAACGTATTATAGTCCTTTAAGAGCTGGCTAGTGATTGAGAACACGGTGAGATTAGAGGAAAGAACATGGGAATTACAACACCTACTTGCGCATGCAGCTCTTATTGCAGTCCACAAGGGTTCTATAAATGTGCCAAAAATTATCATGGCTTTATTAATGTAATTTTAGTAGAACTGTGTAAGATGCATCTGTTTTGAACATACTTTCTGAACTTTCTATAAATGGCATCAGTCCTAAAACTGTATTTTAAACTTAATTTTAAAATGGTTTATTGTCAATTCAAATTTTGAACAAAATATTGATCCCCTATATTGTTACAACAGCTAGTTTGATAGTGATACTGAAACACAAAATATTTACAACTACAGGTCAACCTACTGTTCATATAATAAGTTATTCCAAGCAGGTAAAACAAATGTATTTCCTGTGTATTTTCATGTTATGAAAGATACGCTTGTTCATGTAAATGAACAGATGCCACAATAAAGCCTTTTGGATTAAAAATATTATGTTCTTATTTTAAACTGGTTGCTACATAGCTATGGGAATTCATTCCTCTGAAAGCTTCATTCTTCAAGTTGTTGAGTGTTGTGGCTATAAAAAGAAGTTGGCAGTATTCTCACTTCATATTGGGTATGCTTACATTAATGACTGGTGTGACACAAAGCGGGAAGAACTAGGATTAGATTTGCTGCGATCTGTTAGGGTTCAAGGACCATATGTACCCACCAGGTCTTTACCAGCAATGAATTTAATGCAGATTGTGGTCCTAGCTGATCATCAGGTATGTGTAGACAGCTAGCAACTGGAGAACCTTGCATTCACATAGCAGGTGGGCCTTCCAGATGTTGCACCAACACCCCAGGTATGCAACATCAACTTACCAAGAGGTCTAAGGCAGAAATAGCTGTTCGCACATCGGGAGTGCTCCCTAATATACACTTCAAAACTTCAGGTAGAAACAAAAGAAAAATTTTTACCAAAAAGACCCTCTTCTGCACATGACATCGCTAATGTAGACTTATCCGTAGATGTCAGTGCAGCAAGTGGTTAAAGACATTTCAAGGAAGTACATGTCAGAAAAGATTATTTCTTCATAGTAGAAACAAATAGATATCATTACAGTTTATAGCAGAAAAAAAAAGGAAAGTTAAATGGAACAAATGTCTATACTTTTATCAACAATTTAAAAAAATTATTTGTAATAATTTTTTTTTCATAAAAGACATTTTACATTAGGGGGTGTGCAGTTTGAAAAGTGTAAATGGATTTTTTTTTTTTTAAATTTGAGTTGTTTGAAAAATTATGTGGGAAAAAAAGAATTTTGACTACAGTCCTTATAGTGTGGTGATGTTTTCTGACTTGTTTTAAAAAAAAAAAAAAAATCCACTCTTAGAGGGACCTTATTCGAAAGTTAAGATGCCATAAAAGTAACTATAAAGAACAATCTGAAATCCTATTCAAACTAACTTCTAATGAGATGCAGTATTAGTGTTCATATATCTGTACATTGATCTTTGGGGGTGGGGAGGGGTGCCTCTCAAAAGGTTGCACTGCATGACACTTCAGAACATTCAACTGTTTTCATTTACCTCTGGGCTAAGGACAGCTGTGCTATCACTTGGTACATCCTCTTCATATCCTTTGTTATGAAAGCTTTCTATTTCGTGTCCCGTGCTTCCCTCGCTTGGGCACTTATATGAACATCTTGGACTGTTGCTACACTGGGAAAATTCACATTTACTGTCTCCGACTTCAGAAGGTGTACATGAAAGATGAGGAGAACCACTATCATCCTGGTATGGAGGCGGCTGCAGTTCATCTAGTGGAGGCGTTCGTCTCATCCTCTGAATGCAGTTTGCTGAGAATAAGTGAAAATTCTTTACTTACTTTCTGATTATTTACTGTTGAAACAGTTCTGTGGAAAATGGTAAGTCCAAATATCTGGACAGAGTAATTAAAATCTATAAATGTCTTTTTTTTTACTTTATATTTTGAATTAGGTAACAAATAGTACTGAAAAAAATATTTGTTTAAAAATGGAAACATGATCTCTCAGATGAAAGAGATGTGGGAAAAAAGGAAAGTATTAAATATATAGTCACAATGGACTGTGTAAACCATATATAAATAAATATAGCACAAATATGACATGACAAAAATTCTAGGCTTGAATTTCAGGGATGCTTACCTTGCAAAAACCTTTGGATATCTTAAGTCAGATTCTGTGCAGGTGGAATGTAGACCAATTAAGGAAACAAAACGCGCTCCCTAAAGCCATGATACCAAACTTCTGATTACCTCCTATGCTGTTACCCAGGGAGATATTAAATTAAATTCTGAAAACAAATAAGGACATAAGCCTTTTCACACAGGCGAACTCTGATCACCGGTGAATTTAACAAGGGAAGCAGTGTCTCAGATTCTTTATTACTTGTTAAGGACAGCTAAAGGGTACGTATCCGGTGTCTAGAAGTCAGACACTAGGTCCAGTCACTAAAGACAGTGGAAAAAGGACCATGAGCAATCTTGTGCTCGGGATGAATACTTGATGCTGACCATCTTTGCTTCTCACTTACACTAGCTAGCTAGATAGAAATGTGGCTATACACCTCAGAAAATAAACCCAGGATGCATGGCTATAGATACAGAAAGTTAATTCAAAATCATTACATTTCAATTTTTGATCTCATATTTTACTATGCAGCATTACACAGTTGACTGGAGTTGGGAAAAGACAGCAAGGTGTGCAGTAGCTGAAATGAAAGGAATACCAAGAATAGGCAAAACCTGTATCACATTTTGTTTACATCTTCTGTAGAGGTTTTAATGAAGATTTTGATGCCCATCAAAATCTTAGAATTAACTTACACAAAAATTTCAAAGTAACAATGTTTTCTGGTGTCCAACATACCACTTTCACTCACAGAAAAAATCTACCAAACAAGGTAGTTAATGAAAGTATTAACATTAGAACAATATAAGCTTTGATTTCAGATTCATCTAAGAAAGAAACTGATCTTTCCCACGTGATAAAGGTGGTACATTTTAGTTTCATCATCAGATTTTTGTATACAGGATTGCCCTACCTGTGTCCTAAATTCTCTCAAAGTCCATCAACCTTTTAACTGCTTCAGAGGTAATTACCAGTTGTTCAACTTATCACATAAACAGAGTAAGCATAAGAGGTACCCTATATAGAGCAAGGCTGAAAACACAGTAATGTGGCTCTCTCGGGAAACAGTCTTTGCAAAAGTCTCACTGTTGTTCTCCTTTCCTTTAGAAGTCTGGGCTGTATCTGACTGTGGCATGCAGGAACATTTCACAGCTGCCGGCATTTGATGTAAGCCCTAACCACCACGGTTTTGGTGCACACTATCCATGGGAAGCAACCCCAGATATGTTGGCTAGACGGGAGCCTATATGCATTGCAGATGCCCAAAGCTGGGCAACTGAGGGACAGGACAGCTCATTCTGGAGCGTATCCTACTGCACAGATAGGCAGAAGCCTCAAAGGTAATTGGGGAATGCAGGGCTCTCCTCTATTTCACTGGGCTGCTAACAGAACTCCCCTTAGCTTTAGCTAAGGCAAATGACTAATTACACCACCACCAAGCATTCCTACCAGATGATATCACTATCAGGAATCCTCTCTTCTCTGATAAACCCATTGCAACCAGCCTACCATTCTGAGTGATTCCAAGCTATTCTTAGAGCACTCATGCAAAAGGTCTTCTGCTGTTAGTTAGCCCACTGCCACTAACTCTTGAAACTCCAGTCCCACAGGGCTGGAAAGGAAAACAGAGCAGGCAAGGAATCCTGTACTCAAAATGTAGTCTTAGAATCATAAAATGACTGACATACAAAACAGAGTTGAGTGGGACAGTCAGAATCTTGAAATCGCCACGCAGGAATAGTGAGAAAGCTTTATTTGCAAAACGTGGAGAGATCTGGGAAAGCACTTTTTTTTATATATATAACTTGGGGTTTTTTATATATCTATAACTTGTTCCCATGAAACTAGATAGACATAATTTTAGAATCTAAACTGATATTTTAATAATAATAAAATAATAAATATCCTTTGACACTTTATACCATGAAAATAGGACTTCCTTTTCATAATTTATATAAATGAATATTCTAGCAAATTTAGAGCAACATTTCTGCTCATAGTTGCTAAAAGGCAACAAACAGCATTAAATGAGACAGTAACCACCATGTAGCTATGACTTAATTTCTTTCTTTTCACTTGTAGTCTAGTCTGTAAAGACTTTTTAACTCCCAGCTTTTCCACAAGCTAAAGAAATGAAAATGTATCTGGGTAACTATCAACACCATTATTGTCTTACATGAGTAAATAAATGACTGTGTGACTCACTTTTTTCACTTTGATGAACTCCATTTTATGTCCCTATGGGAAAACTGCACAGGCTGTGTGACAGAAAAGGTACTTTTAATGTAGGTGGGGAAGAAGTGAAGAAAAGAAAATTCTTACTAACCACCTGTGATTCAAAATTCTCAGAGAAAAAAAAAAAAAAGAAACACTGGGGCAGGTTTTAATGATTTATTTTTGAAAGTTTAGTTTACCAAACAGAAACAGCATGTAAATTCTTAAAACAAATATCTGGGTTTAAAAATCTAAGGATACCTCTGTCTAAGCAGGCATAAACTCTTTGTGAACAAAAGGTTTCTCTACATAAAAAGATATCAAAGTTTTCAAATTAATTTTTAAAGTGAAAATGTCTCATTTTAAATTCATTTCCCCCACCCCACAGTAAATGATGCAATACAATGATGATTTCATGTTACAGCTCTCTGAAAATACCACAAATTTGAATTACATGAAGACTTTCTAATGACTGACGATATCAAAGATAAATGATATCACAGACAGAAGTGAATACAGCAACGCTGAATATCTGATACTGGGTATTTTCCTTAAAAATTACACAGACGTAACAACACACTTCAACACTCAACAACATTTTGCATATGTATCAAAGTTTAACATAAAAAAACCCCACTGCTAACGCATGCTGGCTATCACTGTATTGGAAAAAACCAATCGGAGCTGAAAGGAAAGCATGTTCTGAAGTGTTTGCTTATTTACATATAGAACCACTGTCTATAACACACCTTGTACCTTTCATTTAAGGTGTAAACTGAGACACTGTTACACTTGTGCATACTTGCGTACTGTGGGAAAGCCAAAGAATACCTTCCGAAGACCACTGAATGTGGATAACAACATCTGCTAAAGAGTTACTCTTAACAAGCAAATGGTTACAGTGAAAATCTAAAATTGTTGCATTGTTTCTATGCAAGTTTCCCAAGAAACCTTCTGCTCTCAAACCAGATAGAAAATAAATTTTGCCAATTCCCCCAACGAAATGAATGATATTAAATTACCATACCATTTTGGACTAGGCAGGGTAAAAAACAAGCCAACATATATCCTAAACCTGGAAGAAAGGAATAATCACAGAGAAACCAAATTGGGTTTAGCCTGAGGTTCCTACCAGCCAGAAAATGATAGAACAGAGGAAAGACAAAAAAGAAAGTTGTAACAGGATGAAGATCACACATCCAGTTTTCCACCCAAACTATGTTTAATAACTTTGCATTCTCATAACATGAGTGAAACTAAGTTTTTAAGTAATAAATATTTAGTAAACTCTAAATTGAGAATATAGTGTATTGCTCTGAATAGACAGATATGAATAATCAATCTTTTAAGGGTTAACTGCTTTAATTAAAATTTTCATCCTTCTTTAGTGGGCTGGGAAAACACTCATACAGAGTTAACAGTAAAGTCCTTGCTCAACAGCTGAAGAAAGCAGAACTATAAGCAAAATACCTGACAAACACAAGCAGATTAGCATTTTGCTGGTACACTCTGAAATTACAGCATGTAAACTGTCGTTAGCGCATTTAAGTCAGAAGTAAATAAATATCTTCATTCTAGTACTCTTTGTTAAACAATGAAAGTTAATCTGTTTTCATAAATCCCTGTACAGGGGACTGACTGAAAGCCAAGGGGTGATAATACGTATTCTTGCCATCAGACTCAAGGGACTGTCAGTAAAACCTGACACAGCAACCATGACCAAAATGAGTATTCCTGGAACATACAATTGATAACTATGAGAAAATACAGAAACTTTTTCAGTCATTTTTCCAAGTGGAATCACAGTTTAAAGATACACGAACTTACTATAAGAAATGCTGTTTCTTCAGGTTTTCAGTTACTATTTGAACTTTCTATTCCCAATGCTCCTCATTTCTCCTCTCTGTCCTGGTCCCTTGTGGACCACACTGGGCTGTACAACATTTCACCATAAAGCTGGTGATGTTCCTTTCCATGTTTACAATGTTTAGACTTTGCTATCTTAATTAATTTTCCCAAAGGTTGTCAGCAACAGCACAAACCTAGCTTTCTTTAGCTCATAGTTCCTAATTCCAAGAACATGCATCTCTTAACATATGGAAAAAGAAACTATCCTTGTGGTTTTAATTCCCCTGTCTTATAAGCAGTAATTAACTACACTTTTGCAACGTGGAGTTTCTCATATGTATTACTTCTTTAAATATTCATACTATTGTGAGAGGCAGCATTACCGCAAAACTTCTTTGGGAATCTGGTTTCCAGTTACTTTAAAACAAGTAATCACTACATAAATTAATAATTTTTGCAAGTCATATTTTGTAATTATCAGAATATCTTTATGCTCAAACAGTACCTTTTCTTCCTCTAATATATCTCTGCATACACTATGCTTCATAATTAATTATTTTTTTAATCTAACATAAATTTCAAGTTTTCAAGCCTTCAAGGGGTTCTATGTAAATGTTAAGACA